GGTTGCTTGCCAGGATAGGCTTTGGCTCTTCCCCAGCCCAGATTTGGGCCAAACAGTAAGAAAATGCAGGTGGCAGGAGGTGGGGGGGAGGGATTTTCACTGTCTTTCCCTAGAACTCTGGATTCCTCCAGTGAGCACACATGGTGGCCTAATAGTGCAAACAGTTCCGCTGGCTAATGCCACTATTCTTCACACTACCACGAGTGTTTGTGAAAAATTCCTGGAAACTTACAAAAAAGTAATAACCCAAGTCTGCCATGTTTTAATAGTGTTGATGCTATATCTGGCCAACCTAATTCTTTTAAAATGCAAACAAAGCTCACCTTTCTTTAAAGATGTTTACTGTAAACTAGGCTTGTGTATAGGCACTCATGTACGGTCTTGCTCGCTGAAGGTTTTTGTGTAGCGGTGGAGATTTACTTGTATGAATTGCAACCCCGCCGGGCTGATATAAGCTACTTCTTTTTGTCGTGTCATAAGATAAAAGGCATTTGCCGGGTTTAAAAGGCATGTATTCACCAGGTCTGCTCACTAAGCAGCCAAATGCTTTCATGTGGTAAACAGGCTTTACTCTCTAAATGACAGGCAGGCACACTAGCTCAGGGTTTGCACGAGCTCCTGTTGTATATGGTGCTGCCAGATTAAAGTCAGACTTTAAATCCTCGAGGTTTATCTAAAGCAGGCATATTCTGGCAGCTCCGCGACACTCCTCATCATTTCTGATTTTTTTTTAAGAAGGACTGATGGATGGGACTGAGAGGGATAACGGGACACTCGGATTTCATACCGCCTGCTGGATCGATCTTTTTAAACAGTGTTTTGCAGAGCCTTGCAACTTTGGTATCCCAGCGGGTTGGAACATGGCAACATTTTAAAAGGTGACTCTTAACACGCTTGTCTCCAGCCGAGAGGCTGTGAGGCAGCTTTGATTTGTGAGTTTTGACTTTGCCATTTTGCAGCCACTGCATCTTACATTCTGGGCTGGCAGAGGTTCTTAATTAAACCATTAGGAGGCAAAACGTTTGCACAATATGGCTGGCTGCCTTCATTACAAAAGCACAATTGCTGTTAATTTATTCAGTTACATCTGCAGACAACAGATTTAAATCATCGTCTGCTCGCACTTGTGGTTAGGAATACGTTTCCTTTCATTATTCATCCGGGCACGTTTGGAAAGCAGACTGGCAATGGGGAGGAAACCACTCTGCTTTGTTTACTGTTCAAGAGAAAGCCGGAAGGTGGAGAAATCGTCGTATTTCCATGCCCTGCTCATGAGGGTTTGTTGAGTCTGTAGAAGCTGGGAACACCCTCTACAAAGGGCTGTGCCATTCCACAGGCTGTGAGTCACACACATTCATCACACTTCAGTCCTCTCCAATTCATCAAAAAGTCAAATGCCAAACGCTGATGGAGTTAATTAAACAGGGACATTTTACCTCCAGATGAGTTTCAGAAACATGAGCCTCATTGATTTGAGAAATAGAAAAGCTGATTCCTGTCATTGATATATTTGTTAAATTACTCAAACTTCAGCAGGCTGCTCCAAAATACTGAACCTGCACATTTTGGTGCTTAGAGTGCAATGTAAAGTACTTTTTTTTTAAATGCATTTAGGAGGACTAAAAGGCAGGTACCACTTCATTACACTGAGGGCCGCTGGTCTCAATAGGATTTTAGGAGTAATGGCTGGAGGGAGATTTTCAGATGAAGATGCTAACAACCCAGTGGACTGCTGATGGTGCTGAATGCTCTCTTGTCATCTGCAACTCTTATTTCTTTACTCTATTATTTCTGTATCTCTCGACACTTTTTTTAACTTGAGAGAGAAAAGCTGTTATAAAAGAAAGCTTGCAGGTCTGCAAACAGGAAAGGGCCGATTCCTGGTGTCCTCAATCAGTATGGTCTCACTCTTGGTTTTTCCTGTTCATTCAGCTCACAGAAGGCCTGACAGGCCATCCTAGTGAGTGTGACTGGGGCTTTGGCAGAGAATCTGGCCCTCTGTAAATCGCCCCCAATAAAAACTGCACTTCATTTTCTCGTAGACCCACTGCGAATCAATTTCTGACTCTATCAAATGTACAAGTTAAATCAGTCCAAAGAGCTGGCAAAAAAAAACAAACCCAACAACAAACACGAATCATATTAAAATACCGAATACAAAAGGAGCGGTAAATCGAATTAAAATGCTAACCAGATGTGGCTAAAATACAGAAGGAGGCAGCAGTCTTAAGCCCGCTTGTAGAGGGCTAATAATGTGCTTTGACTGTCTCATGCTTTATGAGAGCACTGAGCGCTGTCGGTGCTGCTGCTGCTCATTCTGCAAGGTCAATAAGGAAGAAGAGACACTGACGGAGAATTCATTTGGCTGCTGTGGGGTACAGTAAGCCCTCTCAAAGGCAGTGGCGTTGCTCATGCTAGAATGTTTTCCCCTGTGTCCTGCCTGCTGTTCAACCAAAGGGG